GGACAGTTATTTCTGGTGTACGTACCCTGCTGGATGAATCGGGTTTAGGCCATTCCTTTTGGGCAGAAGCCGCAGCAACATACTGCTATGTTGACAGCTTCGTACCATCCTCCCGTTTCCCAGACGATATTCCTATTGAAGTTTTCACCGGCAAATGACAGGACGTCTCTCATCTTCGACCCTTTGGCTGCCAGGCTTGGGCAACATTACCTGAGAAACGAAAAGACGGAAAACTATCATGGCAGGCAGTGAAGGGTATACTGATCGGATATATGGATAGAAGGGGGTACCGTTTGTGGATTCTGGAATGGCGTGTGGTTTTAGAAAATAGGGATGTCCAATTTGAGGAAGGGCAAGCTAAAAGGACATTTTCGCGAGGACTGGGTACCAATCGCGGGCTCAGAGATACCGATGTCGGTGATAAATCGGGTATCACTGAGGATTGGCGTGGTTTTGATGTCGAGGAACTCGATGTTGATGACACGATGCCAGAGCCTCAAGACCCTCCAGCTGCCGTTCCACCTGTTCCTATGCATGGTGAAGTTGCACCAGAACTTCTTCCACCTGCCGATGACGACGAACCTCGAGATTTACCTCCTGCGGCTATACCAGAATTTGATAATCCTGCTTTGCCAGAACTTCCACTTATACCTCCTCCTTTTCATTCTCAACCACTGCGTCGATCGGCACGTCTTAAAATACCAAGTACTCGATACCTCGAATCCAAGGAGTTCGAAGATAGAGAAAAAGAAGCTAATGATCAGGGGAGGGATTGGGCGACCGAAACAGCTTTCACGCGAATTTGTGCAGATCCTTGGTCATTTGCCATGAGTACTGAGGTAGACAGCATTCCATCTGATTACAAGCAAGTTGCTCTCCAGAGCCGATGGAATTGGAGTATAAAATGCTTATGGCGAAGAACGTCTGGACACTGGTCGACCTACCGCCTGGCGCAAATCTTATGGGTGGAAAGTGGGTTTTTGCTATCAAACGTGGTGCATCGGGAGAAATCATTAGACGGAAAGCTCGTTACGTTGCTCAAGGGTTTACACAAGTTTTCGGTTTGGATTATGAGAAGACGTACGGAGGAGTAGCGCGGATGGAGTCCGTGCGTATCGTACTCGCTATTATTGCCTGCTTAGGTCTTTTACTCTTCCAAGTCGACTTCAAATCCGCTTTCTTGAACAGTCCGATCACTCATGACATCTATATGAGGCAACCAGAGGGCTTTATCCAGCCGGGATGCGAAAATTTGGTTTGTAAACTACAGCGTTCGATCTACAGGACCATGCAGGGTAGCCATGACTGGCAAGCTACCCTGTCGAGTGGCTTCAAGGAAGATGGATACAGAAGTTCCAGGGCAGATCCTTGCATACGCTCACGCCGTCGAGGAGGGGAATTTGTCATAACGAGTACTTATGGAGACAATGTTTGTGGAGGAGCCTCTTCCGAACCGGAAAGGCGGGAGGCAATAAGAGACCTTGGGAAGCGTTGGGAATCGGATGAAGTAGGGTCCAGAATGTTACTGGGAATGTCGATAAGTCAAGACCCATCTACTCGAGCGATTACTATTTCACAACAAGGATATTTTACACGGATGCTTCAGCATTTTGGGCTACAAGACGTACAGCCGAAGAAGACTCCTCTCCCTGTAGGTATCCATCTAGAACAGTCACCAGAAACTCTGCTGGATGATGAACGTATGTTCATGGAGAAGAAGCCGTTCCGTGAACTCCTTGGATCTCTCATGTGGGGTTCGACCTGCACTCGCGCTGACATTGCGTTCGCCATGGGATACTTAGCGAGGTTTCAATCAAACCCTGGTTGGGCTCACTGGGAGGGTTTAATATGGCTCGCTGGTTATGTTCGTTGGTCTGTGCACTACTGCATTGTATACCGGAAACCTGAAGTAGGGGAGGAAGCTTTAGGGAAAGGAATACAACCCGCAGGTTTTTCGGATTCTGATCTCGCGAATCGTTTGGATACCCATCGTTCAACATCAGGTTATGTTTTTTTTCATGGCTGGGGCGCCCGTCGCATGGTCATCCAAAAGACAGGGTTCTGTGGCAACATTGACAGTCGCAGCGGAATATATTGCTTTAGCTAGAGCGAGCGAACAAGCGACATGGTTGTCTTCATTCTTGGCTGAAGTAGACCTCGCGCAAGATGGACCGGTAATGATATCAGCCAATAATACTGGCTCGGTAAGCCTTACCGAGAATTCGAAGAAACTTGGACTGGTGAAGCATATAGATACAAAACATCATCATATCCGGGAGAAAGTAGATGAGGGGAAGATTGCAATTAACCTTATATGTTCTGGTGAGAATGTGGCCGACATTTTGACAAAGGCATTGAATGCACCTATGGTTCACAAATTTGCGAAAAGGTTGGGCTACTGTATGGAGTAGGGGAGGTGTTGGAGAATACTCCGTACATCTAGCTTTGATATTACTTATTCTGGTATCTCTCTTCCTATCTATACTTCCGTTTATCTTTCTATGTTCTGACTTACTAATCCCAATCTAACGATCGGGATATATATATTTTCGTTCCATTAGCTATTTCCTCAGTTGATCTTCCTTACTCAACTGAGCTTTACATATCTCTACACAAAATACCGGAGTTCATCCGAGAGAAGATCATTGTCTTGAACCATTATGTCATAATAAAGGTCACTGGGGATTTTATAGGACGGCATCCCAAAAGCTTTGTGTGCACAGAGAAGTAGCCCTAATTCATGACTAGTGTACCCCTTCGGGGCCCTACACCTTGCTTGGTTCAGTGCATAGCTTACAAATTAATGTAACTGTATAGCTAAAACGAAAACGGCCCGCATCATATCGCAAAATTGACTCTACATCTGCAAAACCTGGATATTCGGCTAAGGGTCCGAAAGCAGTTGAGATCATTTCCCAGCAGTGAAAGCACTCAGAGCAGCCTGCTCTCAGTGCTTTTGGTACTGGGATCTGCTGGGATCTGCTCTCAGCCCTTAGCCGAATATCCATGTTTTGCAGATGTAGTGTGCAGCAGTATCCTCTCTGTTGAAAAGTATCTAAAAGTGATGTTGGTACATCAGTACCAAAGTATCGCGACCAAACTTCCAATCACGTAAAGTGAAAGCGACATCAATGGTCACCCCATTCAGAGTCTGTGGTAGCAGAGCCTCAGGCAATGGCGCACCGGTATGATCAACGGCGTTGAAGTTGGCAACTGCGAGGTTCTGCGATGTATCAACCCATCGGGGGTTGGTACGTTCTTTCACAGGAATCAAATCAGTGAGACATCCTGCAAACAGTTAGTGCAAACTCTATAGGTAAAGTTGGCCACTGACCATCACATCCTTCTCCGTAAGCACAAGCCTGGGTAGAGACAGTCAGCATGGATTGAATGTCATTGTCTGCCACATACACGAAAGTGGCAGGGAGTACCAATCTTCATGTGCGTGTCCACAACGCCACCGCCTTCATTGAACCACAGGTAACATGTAGGTTCTCCCTCAGTCCGCGTAAGTATCTTCTGAAGATGCTTGATCTTCATTAGTGCAGGTTCCCAACAATGCATGAGCAATAGTGGTAATGTTGAATGGTGATTCGGACGCAATATCCAACTCCATTGATAACGCAGTGTCAGATCTCAGTTTCAGTAGGACCTAAGCAAGCATTGTGTGACCGACAAAGATCGTTGTAATAATTGGTGAGAAGGTGTGCAGATAAGATAATGTGACGTGAGCCGAAATGATAATCTGAAAAAGCATGGTAAAATCTTCACGCGCGCTAATCGGGCGGACTGGAGAAGGACCTAAGCAAGCAAGGTCATCTGCGTAACCGTCAAGCCTGAGCTCCTTCTTTTCTGCACTAGTGTACCCCTGCGGGGACCTACACCTTGCTTGGTCACATTTTCCGAGACTCATTTCCACAATACAACCTACCATTTTGTTACTTGTAGCAGCTTGTAGCCTGCCATTCAGTGTATAGGGAGATGGAGGACAGAAGAGTACCAAATGCAAAGGAGTCAAACCTGTTGTACCAATGGCGATGGGAAGGTGCCGGTTTTTGGAAGAAATACCATAGGTGAAGGAAGCGAAGGAGGACGATGGCAGCGGGAAACTGCAGGGAAGTACCCATCTGCAAAACCTGGATATTCGGCTAAGGGCTGAGAGCAGATCCCAGTGCTGAAAGCACCGAAAGCAACATGCTCTGGGTGCTTTCACTGCTGGGAAGTGCTCTCAACTGCTTTCAGACTCTTAGCCGAAAATACAGGTTTTGCAGATCCGGGCCATGTGTGATTGTTTTGAAGTATTTCTGAATAAGGGAGAGGATCTTTGGAAGCATGGTAAAATCTTCGCATGTGCTAAACAAACTGACATGGAAAAGGACCTATGCAAGCAAGGTGATAATTGCCCATGAAGTAATGGTGCATGCTCACAAAGGTAGACATTCTACATCTGCAAAACCTGTATTTTCGGCTAAGGGTCTGAAAGTGGTCGAGAGCACTTCCCAGCAGTGAAAGCACCCAGAGCATGTTGCTGTGGGTGCTTTCAGCGCTGGGATCTGCTGGGATCTGCTCTCAGCCCTTAGCCGAATATCCAGGTTTTGCAGATGTAGAAGGAGTTAGGCATAATGTTTAGAGCAGCATTGCTGTGTTTGAATGAGAAGAGTCCGAAATCTAACATGATGCTGAAGCATGGCTAAATCTTCTCGTGCAGATGGCAGGCACCGATGTGAGATTTTTATAATGCGCAACCGACGGAGTGCAAGCAAAAACGAGAAGGCGCAGGTTTGGGATGTTACAAATAAGGATATAGATCTTATAAACCGTGGTAAAATCTTCACGCGCGCTAATCGGAGTGGTATGCCAAAGGACTGATCGGTAAGGAGTCCCTTGGGCAAGGCTTTCTGCATCGGTAAGGAGTCCCTTGGGCAAGGCACGAGCGTAATCTCCTAACAGGATTATACGACTACCCGCCCAGCTTTTTCTCTTTATTTTTTGAGACAGAGATTTGTATCGGACTTGTTCAGTCAGCTCCCATGCGTCTATGCATATAAGAGAAAAGCAAATGAGATCAAGATAATTCTCCAAGAGTTCTTCTGCTATTACAAGCAAGAGCTCATGCGGAAGTGACAAAAGGATTGATGGAGGATAATTCTTTCTAGTACACAGTTAACTTGATCAAGGAATCTCAATATAATACGCACTTGGCCTTTTTCCCTTCAAAAACGCCAATGGCAGAATCAGTCTTGTAAGACGCTGGAATCACAGGAGTCGTCAGGCGGCTGACAAGCGAGTCATCTGGGATCCAGAAGAACTCTCCCAGCTTTCCCAAGTGCCTAGCGGTTTCCCTGTTGTCAATGCTTATTATTGCCCAGTACTGCCCCATGGTGAGTGATTACGATGATGGAACAGAGAAGGAAATATATATATGTGTGCAGTGGTCAACACGTGCAACTCGTAAAGATGATAATTCCTGATCATCTGTGTCCACCAGAGGCCAGCTCGAGCCACAGAAATCTATCTAATAATTAAAAGCTTATGCTTCGGAATAAGTCACCAGCATGTACTTTTGTAAATACTCCCGCTCTAGTCTCAAAATCTCTCTCTCTCTCAAAATTCGAAACGGTCAATTCTCTGTCTTTCGCGTATCCTCGTTGTAATCAATTTTGGATTCTTTAGATTTCTTCAGGGCGTCACTTTTTCCTTCCTATCGCTGATGTCTCTATTATTCGTAAATTGCAAATATTTGAGGCTTCGAGTAATTATGTGAAAAACAAGCTTATCAGTGAATCGGGCCAGTGCGAACGCAAAATTCGATGTATTAATGCCTTTGAGTTATACTTTCCCCATCGATGCTTATTAGAGGAACGTTTGTGCAATGCCCAAAACTCGGAGAGTTGGTGATCTTGAGTGATTGGTTAGCTGGTACGTGAACAAAATCTTGATTCCGCGGTTCAGCTCATGAACGCGTTCTTCAGCTGTTGATGACTCTGGATACATCACGCACTTTGAGAATGCAGAATCCTCGACGTCTTTAGAGCTTCAACGCGTACGAACTGCGCTCATTTTGCCACTTGGAACTTTTCTCCTTCCACCATTCAACGATTTACATCTCCACGCACCGCAATTCCTGTATCAGGGTACGGGCTTAGACCTGCCTCTCCTCGAATGGCTACATCAATACGCGTTCAAAGCGGAGGAGAAGCTCGACAGTGACCCAGTGTTGGCGCGAACAGTGTATCGCAGGTTGGGTCAACGACTAGTCAAGGCGGGTACAGGCGCAGTATGCTTGTTTGGAACGTTGAAAGGGGATACAAATATGATTTTAGCGGAAGAAATGCAGTCGACCGGAATACGGGCATACGTTGGAAAGGTATCTATGGATATATCCTCTCGGCCTTCGTACATCGAAGCTTCTTCATCAGCTGCCGTCGACGCTGCCAGGGCATTCGGCGAAAAACTAGAACAAACTTATTCAGTTACGTCTCAGTCCCGCCCTTCACTCGTTCATCCAGTCATTACACCTCGCTTTGTGCCTACGTGCTCCGATGAGCTTTTACACGGGCTCGGTGCGCTTTCAGCAGAAAAAGGATGGCGTATTCAAAGTCACATGGCTGAATCGAGCGACCAGGTCGAGTGGGTAAGAAAGGAAAGAGGGGAAGATGATATCCATATTTTCAAAAAGGTGATTCCGAGTCCGGGCATGATACCTCTTCGCCTTGAATTAACGATTATCACATAGCACAACCTCTTAACATCACGTACCATCCAAGCCCACTGTACATTCATCTCATCTTCTTCACCCCCGTCCTCCAAACCGTTCGTCGACTTACACGCCCTCGGAACTGCCATCGCCCACTGTCCCCTTTCCAACATATACTTCTCCGCCTCGCGTGCATTCCCCCTCCGCGAAGCTCTTGAAGCGCAAATCAAAATCGGTCTCGGAACAGACATCGCAGGAGGATATAGCTTGGATGTTATGTCAGCCATGAGAATGGCTGTGGCTGTTTCGAGGATCAGAGAAGGCGAAAGAGTGCGGACGGTCTCGTCAGATCACGGCAAGAGCCTGGCCATTGACTGGAAAGAGTCGCTGTTCCTTGCTACTCTCGGAGGAGCTCAAGCACTCGGGATCGATTCCGGGATATTTACAGTTGGAGCACCATTTGATGCTCAGCAGAGTAAGCTTTTGTCTTCATGGTACGGAATTTGAGGCTCTACCTTTACTTTCTTAGTTCGGTTATTTGACCCGAGATCGGGAATTGGAGCAGGCGCGCTGGATTTCTTCGAGTTGGAAATGGTAGTCACTAAATGTCATGAAGAATCTTACAAAAAGCCCGATCTCACCGAGGAGATGATCGAAAAGTGGTGGTGCATAGGGGATGAGAGGAACCGAGAGGCGGTGTGGGTTCAAGGTGTGAAGATATTTGGATAGCATACGCCTGGCTCGTGCTCGCTGTTGCTTTGAATCGCCATCTTTCCATTCACTTCCATTTCCGTAGCATCCTGCTCCGCCAGCTCCACGTTAATTGTACAAAGCGTTCATTACAAAGACATTAACAAAATACCACGTCCGATCATCCAACCCTCTTTGTAAATCGTCAACACGGTGCCCCAGGGCGCTCTGCACACTGCATCTTGTTATAGAAATCAACCCACTTGGCCTGGTCCAGAGTTCCCTCCGCCTCGTGTCTCTGTAACATAAGCAACAGTTTCGCGTATATCGCACTCAAATACTCTAACTCGCTCTTCTTCCTGTGGAATTGAACCTTTTCAGGCAGTGCCAAAAGATCATTGTAAACCTGGTGCAACTTTGTGTCACTGCTGAAGATCATCTTTCCAAAAGTTTCTTTCTGATCCCGTGGGAAGGAAACCACCATCTGGGGCTTCAGCTGTCCTTTCACCAATGAAATTTCGAAGCCCACATTGCCAACGTAAAGGGTCAATTGTTCATCCTTGGAGACGGGAGCGAGGGGAGCTATATCCTTGCCGTTTCGGTCTTTTCGCAAGAGCTGTATATCTGCCTCGGTACCTGTTGATTGTTTTAAGTAAAAGTGTCCAGTATCACTTGAGAATGCATACCTGCACTGAATCTGGTATAGAGAGGCAACGGAGCAGCGCGCGCTCCAACACTGAGAAGGGTGACGATGAGGATGCACATGCATACGAAACGAGTTAGCGATGATGGAAGGCAGAACATGTTGTTTTCGAAGTGAAGGTAGTAATTAGGGCCAGATGCTAATAATGTGTTGATTCAACAAAATAGCAATACGAGTGCAATAGTCACGAACTTCAATTTGACCTGCAAACCGGTGTCCCAATCGACTTGGATGTATTGTGACTGTGTTGGAAAAAGAATTATAACTGAGAGGTGCCGGTGAATCGTGTGCATGAAGATTAAGTATGGCAAGTCCAAAGAAATTTCAACCTACCGAACCAGCGTTATAGAAAAAAAGCTGCCAACCGAAGGTAGAATAGGATGGGCGACTCCAGGTACTTTACTAACTTACAAGGTATATATATTACTTCGATGGCCGTCCAAGAGCGACGGGAGTATGTACCGACGAGGTACCGACGGAGAAAACATTGAAACAACAGGAGTGCAGAGGAGTGTAAGGGTAGGTCAAGTATCTATATTGACCGAAGGGCATGTAAGGGCATAACTAAGCGTTTCTGCCTTACAACGTCGTTATACTAGACGGCATATAATAGAGAGAATAATATATTAGTCTTGTCAGCGAAAGTCAAGGCAAACTTCCCTAAGCTTGCAGAGTTTACGACAATTCCTCCTCTCTCATGACATCCCATGCTGGCAATCCACACACCGCCGGTAGATCATCCCAGAATTTCTGTCTGAACGCGCCCACGTCCGTCGCAAAATCTCCTCGACATGCCGCGCAAAAGCCTTCAGTATTCTGGCTCACTTGCGACATAGTTTGTCCAATAAAGTTGAACGGACCTGTCCTCACAACCCAAGAACTCGCCAACCTCATACCAAGACGTTGAAAGTTCCTCGTGCATGTTCTCCCGGTGCCATTTGTGCATCTAGCCGAAGACGTACGTTGACCAACAACAGTATTGACAAAGTCCAAGATAGCGTCAATTCTCCTTTAGAACATCAGTGTATAGTTAACCAAATCGGACGGTTGCAGAGAAGAGCTAGGCTTAGATGGGTGTGCGACCTGAAGCTTGGGGTGGTCTGCACGAAGTAGGTCGGTTAAAGGATACAAAGATAGGAAGTACAGTGCGGAGGGCACGACGATGCGAACATTTGTAGAACGTGCGAGGTTTAGAACGTGTATGGGGTGAATATAAGGATAGCTTAATTTGGATGGGGTGTTAGGGTCCGACGAGTAAGATAATTGGGGAGTACGGATCGCTAGATCGAGCATGTTGTCGTGGCCTTTAAGATCGTATGACCATGTTTGAGTCAGATGTTTTATTGCCTGAGTACGAAGATGGCTAATAACATATTTGGTGGAGAGACGTAAGATGCCAGCAAGGTAGAAAAAGTCGTCTACTGAACGGTTATGGAAAGTTCTGCCCATAGTGAGGTCCCATTTAGTTTCCTGAACAACAAGAAAAATCTGGAGAAGCACGCACACCCCATCGTACAATGCCTTGACCAGATTTGAAAGCTCTATGGGTATATCATACATGGTTATAACCTGGCATCCTTCATACCGGGAAGCATCGTTATCGTTATCGTACATGGTGTCTGGTTGCGGAAGCTCGAACATATCCCTCAAGACCTCGGAGTGACGAGACAGAACGCCTAACATTCATCTTTGAGTGTTCAAAATATGATGGAAACGCGCTCTTATGAGCACCTCTATGGACCCGGAAGCCGACCGGTGGTCTCTCGGGTAACTCAGAAGATCCTGACTCGTCGCGAGAAACTAGAATGATGTTTCCGTCTTGAAACCAAGGCTGTCCAGCATTTTGGTCAGAATTTTATTCGGGAAGTAGAGATAAATGAGCACACATCGCCTTGCGTCAGACTAGAAGGATCATCCATGGTAAAGAGGCTTCAAAGAAGACAACAAATCCGGGATCAAAGGTTGGGTTTAGGCATTTACAAGATTCGGCCCGGGACGTACCGGCTGGATACCTAACGTGTCAGATTGAATTTTGAATCTTATCTCATCTCATTCTCTTCTCTTCCGTAACCGGGAAGCATGTTCATTGCATGTCAAATACTGCAAACAAGGGTGTCAGCAATTTCCAGTTTAATCAATTTAATCGAGTCTTCTATTAATCACAAAAACAGTAACATTGAAGTCTGCGAAACCTTAAGGTCCAAGAGTAGATCCCAACCCTGGAAGCTCCTAAAACAGCCTGCTTGAGTGCTTTCGCTGCTGGGAAATTCTCTCAGTTGTTTGACCAAAAATATAGATTTTGCAGATTGGCTTCCAAGGCCAGGATGACGCTTGCACAATTTCAGACTACCTATGGGCATATGATGAATGGGTCTGAGGGACGTAGATAAAATTGCTAAGTACTGTCATAAATCGAGGATCTAAGCCCCTGGTAAATTAAGTCTTCCAACGCCTTCAATCTTAAAGTCAACAAGTAGATGATGTATACTTACGTAGTGACAATACTTGGACTGGTTCTCAATGACATCTTGACCTCTAGGACGATCCAAAATTGTCGAGCACTTCTTTACTATGCGTTCTCGTCTTCCATATGCCCTAGTACCTGGGTCAATAATGTGAGCGCTCAACCCACAAGTGAGCTATGAATAAGGATCCCAGAGTCAAGTTCAATCTGATTCTAGTTGGGAACTTCCGAGGACAAAATTAGATTGAGATGACGCTTCAAGCTTCAAGACCAACATGTGTACCGGTTGATTGAGGCTGTTGTGTCAGTCTGCCTACGGGGAACTAATCGGGCTGGGGCTTCACCGGCACCGTGGGCAAGGCTTTAACTTATGATTCTCTAGAATCAAAAGCACAAAGCACGCCCATTTGATTCTTGGAAGGACTTCTTCGACCGTCGAAATTTGGTTGAGACTGAAGAAGCGCCTTGGTCCCTATGGTTAAATGAAATATGGGAGCAACGAGAAAGGGCCGCAACAAATAGGAAACAAAAGTGTTTCCGTAGCTGTCGCACCGTCAATAAATATATGTCTTCAAAATAGAATCGGTGTCGCCTTTGGACTGGAATGGGCATGTGTGACTTAGTTATGGGCAGATCGAGACTCTCGATCCTGATAGATGCAAGAAAACACATACATACCATTGATATTGCCAGGAGATCATCGAGATGGAAGACTATTTCAATGAAATTAGTTGCTGTAAGTAGTTCCCTTTAAGGTTCTGCAGACGGGAGGCAGAGACAATCATTGTGTGGAATTTGCAAGAGCCTTCCAGAGTCTTTCCTGCCAACGAAGCGAAATATACATGAATGTATCGAGCCTATAATTAGAGAGTAACACTCACTTTTATGGACGGTCCCGCGGATATTATCATTTATCCTGGTCAAACCTGGGTCGAACCACTTATCTCTACACAGGAAGTGGGATGTTACCAGATATAGAGCTTGAATTTCGTGATTTGCCCTGCCTTGGAGCCCTGAAGCTTGACAAAATCGAAACAGGTCTATTTACACACTTGCGATGACATCCTTCCTGATGGACACTGGCCGAATCATGTTTCTCGACTTTTAAGGAGTGTCTACTTACACAGCGTGATGAAATGGGAAGAAGATGGTCCTTGTAACGGTGAACTATTGAAGAGGCGTCTTCCGAGTCAATAACGGTTTCGCAAATACTTACCGTGGTGTCCGCATTTGTACGGTACTTGCTAAAACACAAGGACGGCACTACACAGTCGGCAACCTTGTTTGTCAGATGGTAGCTCCAGGGTACATTCCAACATGCTGCACAAGATGGATCTTTGGCAGTGCATGACAACGGACGAGAGCTCGCATATCTTGAAAACAGATTTTAGTCTTCAAGAATCATTAATAGTAGTGTCGCTGGGCCTGAGAGGTATGGGATATAATGTTAGCTTATTTAACCGAAGAAGGCGCTTTTGCCTCGAAGACGGTGGGCACATACATATGATAGCCATGTAGGCTTGCCCTGAGATAGAGAGCTTATGGGAAAATGAGAAAAAAAAGGGTTCCCTACGTGTAATGCAATGTCCATAGATACAGAATGGACATCGCCTAGTGCCAGTCACTTTAGAAGCACAACGAGAGACAACGAGTTCTTCACAATCCCTCCATTGAATTGAGGTACGATATGTTCCATTTTCACCTGAATGCTAGGAGAATGCGGGATGCTCGGCAGGCAGGCCAGCAGGAATCGCTATAGTATGTGTATAGGATTTGTTGACAGGAAGTTAAACTTCGAGGCGAAGGGCGGGGACGAGAAGGAATTCGGTAATTGGGAAGTTTTCGCGGTTCAAGCGGGCTTTTTAACTTCGTACATCTTGATTTTCCGACCGGTTCACGAGATGCTTGAGTTAAACATGCAAGGAAATTTAGTTTCTTGATCTGGAAACACCCCTGCCCAGCTTCTTGGCTCACTCTCGGCATTCGCTGACTGAGTGCAGTGCCCGGGTTTAATACAACCATCTTCATCGACTGCTTTGATTATCGGAGGAGGTTTTTCTACTCAGGTTTTTTCTCTGTGGAGGAAGTTGAATTATGTAAACGGAAAGGAATAAATCACGTAATCATACAATTCTCATCAACGATCTGAGCCTTGAAGGGGTCTGAAATCTGTTCAAAACATGACGATCCTGAACTTTTACTTCCCATTATTCCCCCATCTCTTTTTTCTACTTTATGTTGTACGAGGCAGAGGACAGAAATCGGGCTCGAACCAATGAAATCCGTTACTCCTCCAGTGACTTGCACTCTACGAGTTCAGATGTCCCTAGTCGGAGCCCCTCAATGCAAATTGACTACCGGCCGAACATACAGGCACACAGAGATTATCCTTCTCGATATCAATCGGACACTTATTCCAAGCCACCATTTCCTTACTCTGGCCAATATCCTATATCTAGTCATGGTTTTTCTTCTATCGCTCCCGTGTACACGGACCCTCATTTTCAACATGTTCTGGATTCCCACATTACCAATAGTCTGCCTGAAATTGCTCCTGTAAGGATCGATACACGAGCGCAATTTCCGGCAATAAATCCGCTTTCTCCAAGACGCGACAGCCATTCATTGGGCGTTTCCATTCCCTACATGTCAAATCACACGCAGTTGGCAACTGCTTCCACGTCGCATTCTTGGCCTACAACAGAGGGAGGTACTACGAATGTCGATCTCCCCAAGAAAAAGTCACGGAGAGAAAAGCCTAAGATTGCCCTTGCTCCAGATCAACCTCCAACAACCCAGGGCAGACCACGGGCACGAGTATATGTTGCATGTATTCAGTGGTGAGTGCGTTGCCTTTCTATCTTATTTGGGCATATCCGCTGATTGAATTCTACGTAGCCGCAACCGGAAGATTCGTTGTGATGGTGTAAAACCAATTTGTTATAACTGTGCTCGCAAAAGTAATGGAGGTCACGACTGCAACTCCGACGCCGCCCCTAGACGTAGAGGACCGGATAAAACACCAGGAGCTCGGCAACGAATGGCGAGGGAATTGCAACAGGATCTGGACAGTAGCGGGACACGTCGCCGCCGAAAGCCTCGTGAAACAAGTTCCTCGAGGGTATCTGAAATTACATCACAAACGAGTCAGATCAACAATGTTGCTCCTACCTTCTATGTTAACAGGTTACTTTCTCCGGAAGCATCCAGTAATCAGAGCATATCGCCGTCATACTCCGCCTCTTCGACCTCCTTCCCATCCCCTTTGGTCGATCCTCCAATATATGGTGGCTGCTCTTGTCATGGATTAGTACATTGCCCTATAAGCCAGCCATATGTCTCTACGAGGAGGCAATCACTGCCTTTTTTTGATTTGGTACTTGTCTTTCCATCTCACACCTACAAATCTGATCTTATCATTCGATACAGTTGCCAGCGAGTCCAGGACATATTCCACTCGAGCAACTTTCGAACACTGTTGAACATGGTGGTGCAGCGACCCGAGGATGGACCCTCACCATAGACGATCACAGCGACGAGTCCGATAATGTAACGGATATCTCGAACGAGCCTTCCCTCAGGTTTTCCCGGAAAATCTGGTACGAAGCACTATGCTCACTATATGCTTCCGCCGAAACCTCAAATGCGAATAGAATTACTTACACCAACCGTGCAGCTATATCTCGAAGCATAGCTCGGGATCTTGGCTTTCTCTTCCGAGCCTCGAATTATTGGTTTTCCTTCTTCCACGTTCCAAGTTTCTTTGGCCAATTTTTCGACCCCGTCCGACGTGACACTATGCAACCTAGTCTTATACTAGCTGCTCTTGCGCTGTCGGCCTTTTGGCAAAGTTCTGAAATAGAGCAGGGCAGGAAGGGTAGAATTCGTGCTCTCCGACTGCGAGAAGAGGCACAAAGTGCGCTCGAGGCTAGCTTCAATGCCGGCTCTATTGATGAAACCCTTGCGCAGGCTGCTTGGGTAGGTCTCATTGATAAGGACCCAACGTGTAACCACTGAATGTTTCTGTTTGTGCAGCTTCTGGCGTTGTTCGAAGTCTGTGCTCATCCAGACCACTCCACTTCCCGTTCCGTCTCGGCTATTGTAATGCTTGATTCTATCATCCGGTGCCTTGCCCTCACAGTCCTTGACGCGTATGATCCCAACGCCTCCGTATTTGCAGCAGGTCAAGTTCCCTCAATAAACATACGGTCCTCGGATGGTAATGTATACATTCCTCATCAGGAACGCAGTGCTTCGACCAGCTCTGGATGTAGCTGCCTTTCGCGGACACTGGGAAAATATTGGTCGAAATGTGTTGAGCATGCACCCCTATGGGCGACGACCCCGGCTTGGGATCCTGCTTGGTCAGAGGCTGAAATCCGAAAAGAGTCCTCCCGCCGATTGTGCTGGGCGGCCATAAGCCTCGCTGCGGGACACGTTTCTTACGCTTCTGCAAACGATTCTCATATTCCTGACCTCCACATCGCAGACCCCAGCAACGTAAGTAACCGCTACTTCATCGCCGGGGTTTCGTTTTTTTTTGATTATGACACTTTGTAGTTTGCCCTGCTTTTTTCAGGAGAGTCAATTTCCTGCTCTCTCTCACTCTCGCCTTCCGCAGCAAAGGACACCGTTTGGGCTCTTTACGACCGTTCATTTGTGTTGTGGCATATCTGTGCTAGGGTCAGAGCTGATACGTCTATGAGTGACGTAGAGAAAGGAAAGTTCGCAGTCAAAGCTTGGTTAGAAACGGATGTTATTGAGAGTGCCTTGGACAAACACACCTGCGCCATTGAAAAGGCGTATATCTTCCAAGGAAGGGAGTATCTTTTCAAGTGGGTAGCGCTTGATATCGAAAGGTGATAATTAGACCCACGTTTGAATTGTAGCACCCGGATGTGTATCTCCTTCGATTTCCAGCGTTATATTCCGCTCGTTAATTCGTGAGTGATCTTCTTGATGATGATTGACTATGAGTTTCTGAGTCTTTTCCAGAGGTGTCAGTGGAATTTTTCACCGAACCAAAGCTAAGGAATGGCGTACGTCCTCGTATTAGTTCTCCTAATCACATCTGCCAACGACTATCTAGTCACACATCAAGCAATCGTTGCCGAACGTTTTATGCAAGGTTTGCATGCAGTCACAGGAAATTCCAACAATCTTTTAGCTCGGCGTCCTTTCTTTGTATTCTGGTTCATGTCTCAAGTACTTCGGTATGGGCTTACATGGTTCCGGTTCTTGTGTTTCCAATCCTCAACATCTTTGAACTTAGCTCGTTGCGCTTGTGGCACTGTGATAACTCGCTCACCATAGCGTTGGACGTTTGTAAAGCATTTTTACCAGCCATAGATTAGTACGAATCCCTGCTGTTATCATTATCGTATCTCACCTCTCTGACGATTGTCCCCACAGCTTGAGTGCTCTTTGGCCGTGTGACGGTGCGTCGTTCTGTAGTCTTCCTGTGATTATACTGATGGTTCGTCCACTAGAGCAACGTCAACGTTACATGCGTCTTCGTGGACGCTTGGATTCTGCCTGCCATATCGCTGCTATATCCACCCCTCCTCCTGCGAACTTTGCTCTTCCCAATCCTTCATCTCGCATATTATAGACTTTTATGAAATGACCCTATACGATATTTTGTGAAATTCTCTTTGTAAAACATTGTACCTTTCGTCAAGACTCAAATGTAGCCTTAGTTCTTTTAGCCGGTGGGTCGGCAATAGGAAGGACAATAAATGCTTGATTCTCAAATTAGCAGGAATCAGCTCTTAATCGGAAATCGTCATTTATCGCTCCTTGTCCTTTCACTTCCACTACCTGTATATTCTCTCGCATGGCTGAAGAACAGTTAAAGACGGACTCACATCCTCAATATACTGGGAATGCTTCACTGACGCGTAATTCATCTCCCAGAATTAATGCATTGTCTCTTAAAAGACCAGCGTCGCCGACTTTTGAAGACCAGGATTCTCGGAAACGATTTAAAGAATCTGAAGGATCAATGGATAACCAATGCAAAGAGGATGGCGGAACTGAATCACAGCTAGTGGATGATATTGCTCAAGAATTAGAATGCGGTTGCTGTTCCGAGTTATTGTACAAGCCTGTAATGGTTTCGCCTTGTCAGCACACCTTTTGTGGCAGGTGATTATTCTTTTGAAGCTTGCCTTACTATCCTCTCATCGCCACTATCGTATCCCCCTTATAGTTGTTGTCTGCTCTGGATCCGCGTGAGTTCTGCGGATAACTATTGTCAATTCATACCATTGATATCTCCTTCAGAACGGTGGCACCAACTGTCCTGCTTGTCGTGCAATCTCAACAACCGCTTCACCGTCCCGACCATTGCAACTTGTTCTTGATGCCCTACTACGTAATGTGCCTCAAAAAGCAAGAACCGAACGAGAACGAGAACAAGCTGATGTGATTTACAAAAGTGGCACTACGTTGAGGGTGTGTGTGGCGCTCCTTCAGTACCCTAGTCTTTTCATTTGAACCGTGATCAATAGTTTCCATCTCCACGAGAAGCATCTCCGGAACCCAATGTCAACATTAGCGCAGAATATGCTCGTCCGTGTCCTCATTGTTCGCCCAACAACACCTACGGCTGGAGTTGCCCTTTACCAATACCTGATCCAGCTGTCGACCTTGAACATGCTTGGCATTTAGACGACGGTCTACCGACTGGACACGTGCAATGCGGTAATTGGTGCGTTTGTCGCGGATCTGTTTGCATTCTTTCTTACTACTCTGCAGCGAAACTTTCCTCGCCCTCCGCGCCCCTTCCACAACGAGATGCGACTTTTGTCAGACGTACTTCTGTGGCGTCGGTGTGCCATCTAGGTGCTCAGCAGGTATCCCGTCATTTTAAGCGTTCTTTGGGTGCATAATGAATGTTCTTGTTTCCAGCACCAATTCCACTGCAGCAGCCTCATGGATTCACAGATATAGGTGACCTAATACAGTCATCCGACATCTATGAATGCTTCAATAGCAACACAGTCGAAGTTGAAATCATGCTTGACTACATTACTGCCCAAGGACTTAGTCCCCGGCATATTTACCGAGACGTAAGTAGACTTATCTGTCTCTTGATATGGGGAATTTACTCTTCCGAAGATCGTGAAGTACATCTTGGAACAACCAAGACAGTTCCGACCTCTCATCGAAATGGAACTTTTCATTGTATCCCATGTTGGTCCTCGCGTTGAAACAGACTCCTTGGCTCCTCTACACAGGATATGTCGATCATGTGCTTGCGAAATTTTTATCTGGGGCATTAAGGATTGGTGGATTCGTGAACGAAGAAAAGGTTTCCTGGAAGAAAGTATTATGAATCGCAAAGATTGCCCTGCAGGTAGTGGTTGTGCCATGCAGAGCGAATTTGGTCTGTGCAATCTTATATCAATGGTGTTAGTCTTACTGAATTTCTCGTGTTAATGTTGTATAGGTCACGCCAAAGAATGTAAGCTGCACTCCCATCCGATCTCAGAACATCTGCATTAAAGTCGCAAATTTGTAGTCAATCACATCGACGGAAAGCCAGTGGGATTTACAACCATTTCTGCCGGCTCTGCAACACCTACCGAAGCTACCGAAACCACCGCAATAACAGAGGGTGGCCATTCGCCTTCTACTGCAGAATCCATTCCGGCCGTTACATCCGCACCTGTATCCGAATGACGGTTGGACTGCATTTCTTGCAGATTTTTTTGTATATTCACTGGCCCTGCTTAATTACATACTTTTAATGGTTACTGGTCAATCTAATCTGAATACTCAGTACTCAGTGTCGGTCATAGTGACAAGAAAACCAAGGATCATGATGAACATGTCGTCTGAACTAATTTGTCTGCTTGAATCACTAGTATACAAAAGTATTTTCAAATCCCCCTATGCGGCTTGCATTATAGTGGGGTCCTTCCAAAAGGTCTCTAGACAAGCATGAGCGCAATGGATTATCATTATGTGATGATCCACATAATAGAGAACAACGTTCAACAAAATACGTGAGAGTACTAGTGATATCAACTCTAATGTAAATGTACACAATCAAATCAAGCACATACGTAGAATAATACAACAATAATGAGCGTGGTCAACGATCAGCAACTTCAAAAGATATGAAGTAAGAAAAGCAGATAATCCGAAAGCAATAAATGAAGGTGATAAATGAAAAGAGGACAGGAAACAGAAAAAACGGGCCTACATGACGACACCAGCTATACCACCATACATAGCGCCTGGCTCCTTTTTTCTTCGTTCCGCCGAAAAGTTAGAATTATTATCAGCCTCCATTCGAGCACGTTCTTTACTCTTCGCCTTTAACTGCTCTGCAAGTTTCTCTGTCCTTGCCTTCGCTTCCTCCTTTCTCCGCCGTTTTTCCTCAGCTTTCATGGTTTTGTTGTCTAAAGGCAACTGAGAAGCTTGACTAGAGATTGAAGATGTTAAGGAAGAGCGTGACCCTTTCTCCCTCTTCGTGAACAGAGAGAATGGACTCGTTTTAGTAGATGGTGATGTCGGAGATAGTGTAGTAGGGGAATTCTGGGACATCGGACTAAGAGTATCGAAGAACGAAGGAGACCATGGACCCGGGGAGTCTGGTCGACGCACTTCTTCAGTGATAGCATCCCTCCGAGGTGAGATTGGCACTTTCCACCGGAGTTTCGATTTTTGCTTCGGCCAAGAACTCACCAGAGTGTCGGGGGGTGAAACATGCAGTACCGATATTTCTTCAGAGCTTGAGTTTGATGACCACTCCTGGCCTTCACTCTGCTTTTCAACAATGACAGGAAGAAGGGTTCCATCAGCAAACTCTGCCGGAGTGATAATTCCAGGTGTGGGAGGAAGTTGGTGGGAAGACGTGCTACTGTAGGAGCTACGCGATCTGGATGAGGCTAACGACGGTGTTTCGCTGATAGCTGACGTTCGAGATCGGGGTATATTGAAGCCAGAGAAAGAAGGCGAGGGAGGAAGATAGACCCTTTCAATTTGTCCGTCGGCTGTGACGAGCTCGAATTCGGATGGTTGAGAATATGTAGACGCATAAGAGAGCCTTGACCGAGACGGCGACGAGATAGAACTTGAATGTTTGTCAACATCGCTCTCATCATCTGTTGTCGGAGGGTGGACAGAAGGATCGAGGATGGTTTCGTCGCTCTTGGCACGCTCATGTCGTGGTCGATCAACTGGGGCATCAATAGCTGAGCCTAGCAAATCTGCGACATCATGCATTTCGCGCGCTGTGCGCAGCGACACCACAGACATAGCACTAGTCTGACGAGTGTGCGAAAGTCGCGGTCTGGTAAACAACGAATCCGGGTAATCATCGTCTTCCGCAAGTGATGTACTAGCACCACTCGCAGAGGGTAAAGGAGGAGAATCAGGTCTTAGTGGTGAAAATGAAGATAAGGCATATGGAGCGTTGACGTTTCGATCTGGAGGGAAGAAAATCAATAGATACACAGCATCAAAAACCAAGACTAACTTTGAGCGAAGCCGGCGCCACTGCCATCTGTACCCATGGTCCTCCACTTGGCATCCGAAGTACCTCGGGGGCGGGTAGAGTGTTTTTCAGCTCGAGAACCACCACCAGAACCATCAAACCCCCTGGAGGAACCACCGCCAGAAGTGCCATTACCACCACCGCCATGGCCTCCACTATCAGGCGGTCGACCACTTGAATCTTTATCGCGACGCGGTCGTTTCTGGGTATAGGACTGTGACAAATATAAGTTCACGTACGTAATTGGGTAAAATACGAAATGACCTCTCACCATTACAGTCTTCAGCGCGCTGAAAAAAGAATTCATTCAGAAATGAGCAAATTATAGATTTTTGGCCATATGGCAGTGAATTTGCTTACCGGATTTGTAGACTTCGGCATCCGCAGAGTGTGGCAACTTCATACACACCTACGGAAGTCGAATTTGACAGTGCACGATGCATCGCGTGCTTTACCAACGCCTCGAGATGGGAAATTTGGTAATTCGTAGCTAGAACTAGAAGTTGGCTAAGAACGGCTGGAGCAAGTTGCAGGGGGGTAGTGAGCGACAGGGTATAGAAATATTGTAGCAGGGCCAGAGTTATTGGATAGGGCTCGGAGAGATGAAGTGCGCGAGGGGTTAATCTTGGGTCAGGTCGTTCATAAGCTGGGGCTGCACCAGGTAGTTCTGAGACCTCCACATGCATAGGGGAGGTTGGCAGGGACTCGCTAGTTGATAGAGCCTTCTCAAGAAACTGTTTGCGTTGGACACTGAACCACTGCCACCGCTCTTCCAGCAGCCGCCGCGAGCAAGGGATTTTTCGACGATCGTCACAAACAATTTCGAAATCTGCAAGAACATTTTCTTCAAGTGCAGCCAATCCGAGCTCCTGCATCGGAATATCCATCTTCAACGGCGGTGGTTGGTATATCCCGAAGGCTTCCAGGTCAATTACAGCCACATGATCCCAGCTTAGCAGTCTTCGGTTATAATCGTCCACAAGGTTTCCACTACGATTCCCAAATATGAAGAATTTATTCTGCTCTGGCCAGACACACCCACGGAACCACGAGCCAGTTTCTACAGCTTTTCCAGGATCTATACGAGACCATGTCATGGTGAGAAGGTCGAGGACCCATATTGAAAACGACTGATAACTGTGAGCGAGGTATGTCCCAGCAATTATGAGGTGTGTGCCAAGAATTGCTCCTGTGGGAAACCGGAGACCTGGAGGGAATGTTGTTCCGTTCATCGCACTAGATCGTTCTTGTATGGTGAAATCAGTATCGGGAAGCGGTGAGAACACTTCCAATTCACGCTTGACATCAGTAAACTGTGTCGAAGATTAGAACAAAAGCAGACTTGGAAAATGAGAGAAGCTTACGTTGTAGTTACTGTAGAGATAGATGTCGGCAGGATGATCATCAGTGGGCGTCGTAGAGTATGGTATGTGCGTTAGGGACTCAGAGGAGGTATAGTCCGCAGGGTTTGAATTGGAGTTATCCCGGAAACGCGTTCCAGGAGGTCCAAAGTCGGTAGGTGTTTGTGAGTTACGCGTCTCTTCCTGAGGAATTCGAACGCAAAGAGAAGATGAAACTGCAATGCTTCGATAGGTCCCACAGTGTCGTGGGTAATCTCGTTGTTGGACCCAGGCCTTTCCTAGAAGGTCGTAAACACAGATATCATCCAACCATGTGTTATAAAAATCTTGTCCTCCAATGATGAACAAACGGTCGGCAGAAACGGATGATAGATGTGCGTAACGGGCACGCGGCACCAGGGAGTCAGAAACAGGAACCGAGAACTGTGATTGCGGAATCCAATGTCGAGTATTGAGGTCGAAGAATCGGACATCACTCAAAACACAGAGTTCTTCGGGATTTGGCGAATTAGGTTCGTTACTCATACCTCCGAAGATGATCAACTGATTGTTCCCTAGATGATGATGATGAATGTCATGGCCAGCAGTTGCACGTTAAAGCTCACAAGTATCAGTGCTATGAAAATATCGAGGCTTGGGGATGTCGTCTTGAGGAAAAGGAGCAATCTTCTCCCATACGTGGGTCTCAAGGTCGAAAGCATACAAGTCGGAGACCATTCTACGTTCTGTGACCAGGCGTCCTCCCTGCATAACGACTCAGCGGATTGAGGGCACAACAGACAGGAGTCACTCACGAACAAATACACTTTGGAACCCACTACTGTTGTTGAGGCACCCTACACAAGATATTGGCACAGCGATAATTCCAGAGCTGAAAACCTACCACGAGCTTGGCAGGAACATCGCCGGTAGTCTTACGACAAGAGGTAGTCAGGTCGTAGATGGAATGGAGCATCCTATTCACACCTCAGTAGAAGGGGTAAGATGGTGGACTCGAACGAAAAGGCAAACTGGAAAGATAATTTCTGCGAATGTGAGTATGTATAAGGATCTAAGATCTTCGGCCTGATCAATATTTTCTCACGCCGTATGATGCATATCGGAATACATTTCCTTCTTTTAATTTCTCTTTTACTCCTCTCACAGGCTGCTTCAGCCTGCGTATACGCGTCTTCCTTTTTTAGAACTTTGGAGATCTTGTGCACTCGATTTTTCATTTGATATGCTCCTGCTTGCTGAGCGAATTGAACGCTCCCCCGGTCGTCTCCAACTCCAACTTTTTTTCCCCGAAAAACCCGCGAAAAGCGTATAAAAAATTCTCATGCATGTGAATCACCTCGCAACCACATACATTTGATACGAGTTCAATAATCACCAACTCAACAAAGTTTTGAACCACCAAGTTCACTAATTTAAAGAAGACCTCCCGCAAACAGAATTCGAAAATTTAGAGATCACATCTGCCACTCTGGTCACGGAGGTAAATTTGGAACGCATTCTCGTGGCGTGATATATGACATTTCCAACTAACCATGGTTTGTGGAAGAGTCTCTTCAGCGCTTCGCCCACTGGCATGAAACTACCTCTTTCAAGCCTCAAGTACTTGGTTATCCTCACCACTCCCTCTGGAGTGCCTTCACGACGCTGTGGATATCGCAGCCTGCAAATTTCTCGCTGCGCGACGATGCCAGTTACATCACAAGTGATCGAATCTGGCAGCTAGTCAAATTGCTGCGGCTCGCATCCGTATCTATCCCTCTTTAAGTCCTGCATCGACCTTTAAGTTTGTGGCATATGCAACTCGAAATGTAAGTATTCCTTTTTATTTTCCCACCTCCTTCAAGTTTGCGCCTCTCAACGTTCCTCAATCGGAGCTCAAGCCTTGAAGCTTGAGGGACCAAGCCACTACCGAGCTTCGAGGAACCGGAAGCGCGCGGAATTCCAGAGTAGTGACCGATCATATATTCATGCAAGACCTTGCAAGACTCAGCATGATAGCACTTGTTATATCTGTCTCAGGTGGCGCCCGGGACGTATCCAAAGGAGAGGTATGTCGTTAATAAGTTCATCTTCTCATTGCGAAGCATGTTCACGTACTACGTCAGATTACTAGACTGCTATTGACTACCTTTGTCGTGGGCATACTTCTCAGAACATATACAAAGGTTACAGTGTAGCAGCAGTGGTGTACGGTTATCTGGATGCATTCGAAATCTGATCGCTCCCAGTTCAATGACCCCGATTCTGTACACTTTCACAAAATCTATCGGTCGTTCAGGGAAAGCCCGACCGCGCACGGCATTGAATATCGGCTCCAACTCAGTTGTATCCCCGTTCCATAACGTCGATCAACCGTGAACTTACAACACCCATCTGAACCTCGAGATTCCAGGAACTCGGAATTTCCTCACAAAGGTGCCTCGAGAAAAGGCAGACGGTTTACGTCGCATTTCTGTATTATCCGAGTCATTACAGTATGTTTTTTTATCTTTAGAACTTCGATTATCACCATCTCAAAAGTCAGCGTGGCATTTGAATAAATGAGAGGGGGTACGCCTTCATCACCATATGTCTGAAAGGAGTATGGGAGAAGATGAGAAGTCGGTGTTGACAACGTTTAATATTCAAAGATATACAGAACATATCAGGTCCTTTTCGCCTTGGACTATGAATGGAACACCTTAAACCAGATGCAAGAATTTCGGTTGCATTCTCGAGCTCATAGATGCTGAACCGGAGTCCGGACAACGTCTCCTCAGGCTCCTATCTTTGTATAACTTTTTGCTTATCTCCACCACAAATGGTCTTCCCCTGGTTTATGCTGTTAGCCACCCGAATCTTGACTGACGTTAGACACTAAGCTATTATACCTGGAGTCAAAGATAGACGCATCCTCCAAAGTGGCGATATATGCTAACGATATTCACGTACAAGGCAAACGAAATATGTTCCTACTTATGTTATGTCACGTACCAGGTTCAGGGAAAGCCTTACCTGAGCCTTACCCTCCCAAGGACAAGGGAAGAAGGCTTACTTTTGCGGGAGTCGAAACGCTGCATGGTCACTCATGCGCGGCCTTGAAATGCGTTATCAGATCCTGTCACATAGACCCATTCGTCATTTCAGGATGAAATGAGGAGCTTAGTGTCAATGATCGATTCGATTCGAGGGGCGCAGATGCGAAGAGAACAATGGATGAGAGGTTATCCCGAAAAGTAGTCGATCAAGCCGCTGGAGCGCGGTAGTAGCACAATGCTATATCAAGTTCAGGGTTGACATTGAGTGTTTCCTGAGTTGACATGGTTGGAGACCTCTGCAACGACCTTCAGTCAGGGTGTGCATCATCAAGTGAGAGACGGAGTCTATGTGAGAGAGATACAGGCAACAGCAGGCAACTTGAGAGCATTTCTGATCACGACTCAAGCTTCTTGAACTTGTTTGTTCTATCGTCGTACCTCTAATATTCCTCGAGAAGCAGTCAGTGACTTTGTCGAATTACAATGGTTTCAGACACGAACCATCAACCTGCCTCATTGACCTCGACTGCCGAAACCCCAGAAAACCCACGTAGTCATCCAGAGAAAGCCTCTGCACCATCATCTGTCTCTTCAGTACAAGGAATCCAAAACCAGTTCGCAATTATGAAGCAGTTGTTGCGAGACCAACTTGATAATTGTCGAGAGCAGGTGTCACTTTTAGAAGAGCAGGAGCGAAAAAATGAGCAGATTCGGATTGAAAAGGAAGTGCAGAGAGACGAAATGAAGAACTTTTTGCACGGCGCCCTGGAAGCGCAAAAAGAACTGTCGGCCGTCTCCAGTGAAATGGCCAAGTCTGAAGGTTCGTCCTGGGTTCTCTTTGTTGTATGCCGAGCCCTGATTAGAGCAGCGGAAGACTTAGAAACAATTCGTGTAGTCCTCGAAGAGAACCATTACGTTCAAATGGCTGATATAAAGGCTCACTTAGAAGGTGCGTTGTACCTTGTTGCACGAATACTGTTACTCAGGACTGGCGATTGAAATTTCTCGCAGGGAACGTGAACTATAAGCGACAGAAACAGGAAGAACTGAAAGAGACCTTGCAGACGCGGTCCTAAAGGCCAAGGTCTATGAATTCAGATAATTTATAGTACATTGTCTATGTACATGCTAGGATAGGATAGGATAGGATATAGATTAATGTAGATAGCCGCCAGGATAGAAACATAATGAACGTAAAACCAGTGAAAGTCCAACATCCAACTAAAGACGAATCATGATTTCGACTCCCTCGCAGCAACCTCACAATTCTTCACCACCCATTGAATCTTGACTTTACTAGCTAGAGGAAGACGTTCGTGCGGTTCGAAACGGAGGAGCCGAGAACAGAGTGAGAACGGCCGAAGCCATCATGACAAACAGACTAGCAAACTTTTCCTATGAAATCCTTAGCATCCGCCGAAAACCCGTCAGGAAACTTGGATTCAACTCGGGCAATCCTACGCATGGAGCCTGACAAATTGCAAATAGTTTGATGTCACAGTTATATAGTACGCACCTACTCTGTCGATTTTTGTCCTCGAACGGCGGACTTCTGTTCAAGAATTCGTACATTAACACTCAGGGCCCAATGATCTACCCATTTCCCATGTTCTTTCCTGAGAACCATCTCAGGGGGCAAGTAGTCTGGCGTTCCACATAGCGTTTTCCTGCGGTCCCCTAGTGCATGCACACTCCAACCAAAATCAGCCATCTTGAGCTTCCCATTGAGTGAGAGAAGTAGGTTTTCCGGTCTGATATCGCGATGAATGACTTGTTTTCCATGGAGATAGGAAAGCGCATCGGCCATCTGGTAAACAATGCGGATTTACGGGGAGAAAAACAACGTTTTTTGATGAGTTGGCAATAAAGCTCCCCCTGACCAGCAAATTCTAGCATGAGAAAAACACGTTGGGAGTCACGGAAATAGCCATGAAGGCGTAGGACGTTAGGGTGGCGAAGGTGCATTTGCATCTCGATTTCACGCCGTAGTTGGCATTTACAACCATCCCTCATGAGCTCAGCTTAATAGAGCGTTATAGGCGCAAGGATGTATTGAGGCGGGGCTTTTGTGCGGACCATCTAGACGCGACCATGTTTTCCTTTTCCCAATAGTCGTCCAATCAAGAAACAATGTAAAGACCTCGTCGCAGTCAATTTTGAGATATCATAAAAAACCAAGGTCTTAGATCGAGGGTCAAGGAAGAAGAACAACTACATACAGCGCACTGGATTCCAGAGCAAGGTCGGGTGCATCTTGCGGAGAAACATGCTCATGATGAGTAATGAACATCTGAATCCAAACCACCATCGTACTTCCCAATATCGGGTCCCTCAGCATCATATTGTAAAGCCTTTGTAACCAAAAAGATTGTTCATAGATGCAGGCTGTGTCTTCGTTGAGGAACTATTGTCTCTGGTGTCTCCAACCTTGGAGGCTTCGCCGTTGGTTTCGCAGAAGCCACCTTTGGTCGGGAAATATCAAGGGCAGCGTATTTTGCGAGCAGTCTGGCAACTTGCTCTTTGATGATCATAGTCGGTTTTGGATCGTTCAGGTTGGAGAGTTTGTTCATCAACTTACTGGTAGAGTTAAGCTAGAAAGTGTTAACTAGAAACAGCTGGAAACATACATGTCCAGTATCACGTGGTCGCATTTTCAACGGTCAGTCGAACATCGTGTATATCGTCAGTCTGGTAAGGTCTGGTACTCGAGACTAATCACAGTCTCCCAAAGTTTATAATCTCTTGACACTTTTGAACCAAGGAACTAAGATCGGCCGGTAAACTATTGCCCTTTGCGCTTAGTTGGGCTTTTAGTCCTGGGGCTAAAAATTTCTGGGGTTGAAATCCTTGCTTTCACCAATTTTCACCAACGAGTCAATAATAGCTATTCTTTGCTCTACATGTCATAAAAACTTCAGGTAAGCACTTATATTAGCACGATTGGCTTCATTTAATTCCTCGCCGAGGAAGCTCGCCGCGCAGATAGATATCTTGTAATCGTCTCAGACATCAATTAATAACCTGCTAGAAGCCATAGTTGCGCGCTACCTACATATACTCGAGCATAAGCTCCGAGTCCGATATCCCCCACTCCAGCTCTATTCGGCAGATCCTCGCTTGGGTAGACCCCCAGTTCACGTATAAAAATGCATTGGCTTTCTTAAATCAAACCTTCGTCTCTTCGAAGCGCTAATTACTCAAATGTCACCTTTTCAAAATTTCCTCTTTTTATGCTGGAGTACAAGTCTCATTGCCATGTACTTATTCCGGCGCTTCAATAAGAACTCGAAATCGCTACCTCCTGGCCCTTTGTCGTTACCTTGGATAGGTTTGTTACCGTTCAATATCAACTTACTAACTTGTACTCAAAAGTTTTTATAGGCAACATAAAATGTCTGTTTTCAAGGCCTAATTGGATCACGTATACAGAATGGTATCGGACATATGGTGGGTACTACGTAGAGTGAGATTTTCTGCGATTTCGTTTGATTTATTGTACTGAACCAGAATCTGACATTGTCCACGTCAATATCGCCGGGAACTCGATCATTATCCTCAACACATTAGAGGCGGCGATGGAGCTGCTTGAACAGAGGTCAAGTATTTACTCCAGCCGGTGAGATTCCATGAGCTAGCTTCGTTTTTGTGGATAGGACTTTGATCATCCTGGTTGTTAGGCCCACGTTGCGGATGCTTAACGACCTGTGAGTAACCGCCGAGCTCTTTCGCCATTTTCTGTCTCTAAATGTCGTTCTTATACAGGTTAGGGTCAGTGACAATTGTTCCTCTCTCTTTTTGACAACTTAAACTTAGCCTCGCAAAGATGGGAATGGTCTTTCATCTCTATGCCATACGGTCAAAAATGGAACGCTCAACGGAAATTATTCGTTAACAGTAAGCACTACCTGCTTTTTCGAGTGCCATACAATCACTGTAACATCGTGCTTGCAGTGTTCAATGCAAATAATCCTGAACATCATGAGCCTCAAGAACTCAAATCAACTCGGCTTTTCCTTCTCAAACTTTATGAAAAACCTGAAGATTTTGTTCACCTTCTACGCAAGTGAGTTTGTCATAGAGCCTCATTTGCTTCTGTGCGTCTCATCTCTGATTAATATATGTGATAGGATGGGTGGCTCGACCATACTATCCGTCATCTACGGATACGATGTCGGTGCCGTGCAAGATTCTGCTCACACCGAAAACGCTGAACAAGGAGCGGATGGATTCATGCAAACATTCATGCCGGGTTCATTCCTCGTGGTGAGTATTACGTTCTCATGTTCGTTGTCTTCCGTTATTTACTGTGTACGTCCAGGACTACATACCGTGGATGAGATATATCCCTTCATGGTTTCCTGGTGCATCTTTCCAGTGTCGGGCTCAGGTTTGGAAAGAAGCCATGGAGAAATTATTGCATGGACCGTTCGATGAAATGAGAAATTCCGTGAGCATCACGAGTTGTGATTTCTGTCTGAAGACAAGTTACGATACTATAGGAAAAGTTTGAGGAAGGTTTGCAATCTTGTTTCGTTTCTCGGTGTATGGGAAAGCTCAGCGGTGATTCGAACATCGACCAAGAATGGGTTATTAAACAGACCGCAGGTTCGATGTACCTTGGTGGGTTCCATTTTCTCCTCAAGTACGAGTCCGACAAGCTTGCTTAAAAATTCGTAGCTGGTACTGATACCACAGTCAATACCCTTTGGAGTTTTTTTCTTGCCATGACAAAATATCCTGAATGCCAGAAAAAAGCGCAGGAAGAGTTAGATCGAGTTGTGGGAGCCAAACGTTTACCAGATTTTGATGATAGAAATAGCTTGCCTTATATTCAGGCAATTGTTTATGAAGTAATGAGGCAAGTTCCTCTATCCAGGGTTTGAAAACCACATTCTCATGCGGAAGTTTTGTTCTGTACCAGGTGGCAGCCCATTAGCCCTGGTAGTGAGAGTTTTGTCTCTTTTCAAGTTATTGCCTTCCGACTCAATACGTATCCATAGGTCTTCCACATTTTTCTTCCGAAGAAGATGTGTATGACGGATATCGCATTCCAAAGGGATCGATAGTCATTGCAAATGTCTGGTCAGTTTAATGTGAACATGAATCGAAGCATACGTTTGATTCACTGATACCAGGGCCATGTTACACGAAGAAAAGATATACACGGATCCATATATCTTCAATCCCGATCGCTACATTCGACTTGCCGATGGACAACTCGACCATGATGTGATAAAACCTCTGGCTGGTTTTGGTTTTGGCAGGCGGTACGCAAGCTTCGCGATAAATATATGCTGAATGGATGTTCATCTATGTTCATTCTTCCGCGGCGTAGGGTGTGTCCTGGAAAACACATGGCTTTTTCTGCAACCTGGATCGCTGTTGCATCTATCTTATCGGTGTTCAATATTTCAAAAGCCCTTGATGCAGATGGTGATATCATCGAGCCTTCTATGGAGTATGACACCTCAACGTTGCAAAAGTGAGGAATGATCATTCGAATCATTGAATTGCAATGACCAGATTCATGACAGCCGTCCACGCCCATTCAAGTGTTCAATCAAATTACGGTCCCCTGAACGCCTCCATGTAATGCAAACGGACGTTGACTTTGTTGAGGGTAAATGAGCATCATGTAAATAGGTGATCCAATGTAAGAAAAACCACAGGAAACAGCTTACAAGTGAAAGTGACACAGTGGAACCTAGCTACTTTACGTAGTAGTTGAATATCTTGTAGGAAGGGAAAGAAGCGCCCGGCGATTGAATGAACATTTTTTTGTTTTCACGTCCATGTTCGGCCTCGTCACCTCGTCCACCAGAGCCTTTCGTCCCTGTTCAACAACATTACTCCCATATTTGACCCGCTCGTTTGTTAATAGAGCGCTGACAAAGCCCGTTCCACCAACAACCGGTGTGCTATATACTCTCGGATTCTTCACATCCAACTTATTCTTAATCGGTCATGTACAGAGACAATTACTACGCCAAATGACTTTCTCAAGAGTATAGGCCGCTCGATGGACACGAAAATGACTTCTGCACCAGAGTCATGGGATGATTTCTGGCGGACATCCGGGCTAGACATGCGGAAAGTTGGGCTGAGCGTTCGGGACCGGAGGTAGGTAATCTTTATACAGGGTTATTCTTCTTCGGGAAACACTCAACATACCTATACGCAGATATGCGCTATGGTGTATGAGTAAATTCCGTCGAGGTCTTGCAGTGGAAGAATTCGCGCATGAGCCAAAGCCGAAGAAAACCGTCAGAGGGTACATAGGTTTCGCCCTTTCCAAATACATAATCAACTTTGATATTTCCTAGATGGGGACCTTCGGTACAGAACGGCAAACGTATACGCTCGAAGAGACCCAAGAATCTAAAACGTAAATGAAGCCTAGGGAATGTCCGCGAACTTTAGATTTGGTATATTGTGAGTGCGCATCCCATTTCGTTTTGTTCCATGAGTTTACTAGTGAAAAAGCTTCGTATCCATTGTTAGATAAAGATGATACATAAATGGAAGAACATATCATACTGAATTGAATGCGGATATATGAAATACAGAAGATTTTGGAAATGTAATATACATACGTGTAGTCCATTGGTAGAGGACCTGTCGAGCAAACGTGCTTAGTGAGTAAACCCTTCTATCTGACTATGGGTCAATCATCGCCTTCCTTCAACCCTTCCGCAATAATTCCACCGCACCGAACATTCGGATTCGCCATATGCCTTTTTAACGCGTCTCTCCGACTAAACGTCTGGCAGCAGCCCCCGACTCTCATGTGGTCATGAAACCAATATGGATCTGCATCATCACGGACCTTCCTCGAACCGTTCACTTCACACTTTACATTAAACTCATCTTTATCCTCGAGCCGAACACCTTTACACCACCAGCCTTTTGTCTTGTCCTCTCTATCTGGGCGTAAGTGTGTCTTCAAATGGCGCTGGTAATCAGGCATGCGTTTGTTCGACTGTTCCCATCCGCAAACAGGGCAGATGAAGTCACAAATTTCGACAGAAGTATTGGCAATGGCGTCGAGGAGAACAGGAGAGTCGGATTGCTCATTTCGAGACTCAGGAGCAATGCGTCGACGTTTGGGTGTGGAACGGGAAGATGTAGGTCGAGAAGATGTGGAGGAAGGACTGACGCCTTGTTTTCTCCTAGAAATACGATGACGAGAGACCGCTACTGTACGTCTTCGTCTACGACTCTTGGGAGCAAGTGGGGGAGATGGTGCATATTCGTCGTCATCGTCTGAGGCGTTATTCCTGTATTCGTCGTCGTCATCAGAAATTGTCGTAGCACGGGCTTTGGATGTGCGCTTAGAGGAGGTAGGAACACGTTTTCGTTTGGACACAGGTTGTAGTGGATTGATCATTGATGTCGCAGATAGGTTCATAGGAGGCGTAGGATCAACGGCAGCTTTATCGTAAATTTCCGTCGCAAGTACTGTGAAGGGACCAGGGGTGAATGCTCGATGAGGTAAAGTAGGAGAGTGGAATGGTGAGGTAAATTGAAGTGGATCTGAAGGAGCAAGTCGAGGAGAGGAAGCAGCGGGATAATCGGAAGCGAAGACAGCCACGCTGTCGTGTTCATGAACCGGTTGTGTAGGCTGTGGAATAAAGGGCGCATCTTCCGGTTCAACCCTTCCGTACGAACAGAAAGGATGTCAGAAAATCAAAGGCTCCTGCGTTCAAAACAGGTAACTTACGATACGTCTACAGGCAATTGTGGCTTAGCTGAGTATTCTCTCGGAGAAGGATTACAGTCAAGGATCATGAAATCGACATCAGAGTCCGATTCACTGGAATCCGAACTCGAGTCGTCGGATTGAGCGTACAACTCCTCGTCAGTCTCTCCGTCTGCATCTGCATCGCTGGATGAGGAACTCCCAGAAGAAAAATCAATAGGGCTTCCGGCCAAGAGAGGGTCTTTCGAGTAACTGATCTGTGCAGCTCGAGTGCTGGTATTGTTCTGGGTACGTTTTGACAGAGCAGTCGATGAGACGATACCTGACGACGAGGGCTCGTCCTCCCCCAGTTCCATCGCGTGCTGGCGAAGGAGATCGTCAAAGCTATCGAAGCTTCCGTTGCCAGAATTGTCGCGTTGGTTCTGTCGGATGGTATGGCAGAGGCTGGCCATAGAGTTTTTACGCGTCGTATCGAAGGACATGTTCACTGAGGAAATGAGTGTAGACAGAAGACTAATCGTCGTTCAAGCAATGGATGGAAACGGAAATTCGAGCGGGTCTAGTTATATACAAGAACTAAGAATGTTCCCTTTCATCTTTCCCCCTCCATTCCAATCAATAATCGTGTTTGTTCATTATCCCCGAAAGGAACTCAAGACCTTTTATTATCACCTCGTGTTCCTCTGCAAAGCGACAAACAATCAAGAGATAATGCCAAATCCGGAAGCCCACACAAAGCAAGATAGGTGCATACGTACCAGGAAAGAACAAAGAGCGTGCGAGCACCTTAATCCGACCTTTGGAAGAATATTTGGAAAATCCTTGATGCTATCTAAAGACAAATTAATGTACATAGCAATCAAAGGCACTGGAACGAGGATGACACGAGCCAAGAAGTCGCGTATGTCAATTCCCATGACTCGGAGTGAATGAATTCAGTATCTCCACTCATCGTGATTTCTGGCTCGTAAAATGTAACCTACTGTTTAGAATGCGTGCTAAGAAAGCATCCTGTTGAGCATATCATATCATATCCCTAGAACCCCAGTCTGCAGTGCCAGTTTGTGCTAGTTAGAGCAGGAACTTGGAAGATGGATAATTTTGCTAGTCGCAACCGCCGCCTGAGAAAATATTTTCTAAACGACTTCCATCAAATCTTATTTACTGATACAACTTAACCTCTTTCTGCCTCCTTTGTGCCCGAGAACATCCATGCCACGCGACTCTGACCGTGAATACTTCTCAAGATCTCGCCGGGCTCATAATGGCGTTGACCCACGGTCTAGGAACAGCCGCAGTGACTCTGGAAGGAAATACGATGATGGACCTTCACAACGAGGCGACAGAGGCTCAAACTATCGTCGGACTGAGGAAGCGCGCTACGGCTACGGAGAGGAAGAGCGGGAACGAGAACGCAGACGAGATAGAGAGCGCTATGACCGGGATGGAGACCATAACAGAGATAGAGACAGAGACTATCACGAATCTCAAAGGTCATCGAGGAGGCGTTCTGAATCACCACACTCACGATCATCTCGTCCTCGCTCTCGGAGTCGCTCAAAATCCCCCGTGAACAAAGCGAAACCGAATTTCGGTGCATCTGGTTTACTTGCAGCGGAAACCAACACAGTACAAAGTATCGATGGAAAAAATAGCACAGTCTTGAAATATAATGAACCTCCAGAAGCAAGAAAGCCAGTCTTGGGTTGGCGGCTGTATGTGTTCAAAGGTGAAGAGCAAGTTGGTGAGCATGCAGGTTTTCTCCAACACCGAATTTGTGCTAATGCACATCATGTCAGAATTACTGCATATCCAACGACAAAGTGCATATCTTATTGGTAGGGATCGTCTGGTAGCGGATATACCCATAGAGCACCCCTCGTGCTCCAAGCAGCACGCTGTAATCCAATGCAAGTTCTTTGCTTTGGATTATCTGTGATCTTGCCAACTCTGAACGTACAGATCGCCTGGTTCAAGAGAAGGACGAATTTGGTGGGGCTAAAGGTGTTGTAAAGTCAGAGTTTTCTTCGTCTCGCTGCTTAGGCTACGCATAAGCTCACCAGTCATTCATCAGGCCATTCATAATTGACCTTGAATCCACCAACGGTACCCATGTGAATGATAATAAAATACCCGCTTCCAGATATTACGAGCTCAAATTGAACGACGGTGAGTTCAGAACAGACAATCGTTCTCTAATGTTCTGCAATGGCATTATCCTGACCAACAAACCGTTTTCAGTAATCAAATTCGGTACTTCGAATCGTGAATATGTACTGCTACATGACGATGCCTCATAGTTCGTACAAGATTTATACCGGCATGGCCTTTATCCAGCGTCTCATCATGCATATGAACCAGCTATGTACACAATAGTGATCACATTGAACGAAATCATGCAAAATTTATATTTCGGGGTATTAATGTTTTGCTGGCAAATCGTTTATAGGAAACTCCAACTATGTGGTTGAAGCCGGTGTCGCACTTCTCTTTCGGAACATCACTTGCGCGAACCCGTTCGGACTGAGACTTGCTCCATTCCAATCCGGCTCAGGATATCCTCCATCACCTTCGAACTTGATATCATACGTGACTAGAATGTGCCCAACAAGTGCCTTGATCTCGTTGACTGCAAAAAATCGGCCAGGGCTACGTTTTCAACCATGCATATAAGTTACTCAGGGGATCTTCAGTCGCAAACTGGAGAAACTTACCACATGTGTCGTCCCCCGCCAAATAATCCAAACGACGGGTCTATTCCTACCATTTGATGCTTGATACCTTCACCCTCCATCTCCCGTTTGTTAGAGAATCGGAATGGTTTGAGTGTTTCCGGGTCCTCATAAAGAGCCTTAGGAACCGTATTAGTTGCTCGGATACTAGGGGCCACCAAAAGAGCAACTTACATCATCGTGGTGCATCCCATATGAAGCGACACTGACAATTGTACCGGCAGGAACGACAGTTCCGTTAGAAAAAGTGAAATCTCTGAGGACCATTCGGCTCATGGTAACTGGCAGAATATTCGTCAAGGTTGACGAAGCTCAAGAAAGAAAAGAAAGACGTACGTCCGCCCAAACCACTCAGTCTTGTTGTTTCCTTTAGAAAACTATCCAACTTCCACATCTTGCCCATCGCAGCCTTCGTCCATCCGAACTCCGCGACAGTAGATTCAATCTCTTCACGCAGAGGTTGGGCTAGGTGAGGATTGGCAGCGAGATAGAACAGGGCATTCGTAAACGTCTGGAGTGAAATCAAACTGATTATTCGTGTATAAAAGATACGCGAGATAAACTTACCATACTCTGTTAGCGTTAATATGTATCTGAAAGTCAGATTTTATACGCAAACGCAGTCTAGTTATTACGAACCGTAGTATGTATAGCAGCGAAATTGACAAGAAGAACGCGGGAAACAATGTTGTAGATTATATCCTTACGACGTTCGCCCTTTGCTTCATCTAAAAGCCAAGAGATCAGGTCGTTCTGAAAGTGCAATGGAAGTAAGTAGCGCAACCAACAAGCCATCTGCGAAAAGACTCACTGGCTTATCAGGCCAATCCGAAGATCCAAAATCGACCTCCTTCTGGAGTCGTTCCTTAATCAACGGCTCAATGTGTTTTGTGGCACGTTTGAGACAGGTGGGGACATCTGTCAGGAATTGACGAACGATACTAGCGAAAATTTCAGCGAAGGTTGACGAAGGATCATGCAATACAGACGGTTTGAGGACAGTCGGAAAACGTTGCAATGTTTTGGCACCGTTGAAAGCATCAATGGTGTATTCGATATTGAGATTCTGCGAAGGGTGACCGGGTAAATAACGAAACGAGCGCGTCTGAACGAAAGTCGACCAACGATGTAGTCTGGATCTCGGCCTGATATCCAAAGTCGTCATGAAGTGATTCCGCAGAAACGAAAAGGACAACATACACAAAGGCAAACCAACAAAGTATCGGTTGCTGGTACGAGAGACAATCTTCATCACAGTGTAAAGCATTGGCACTTTCATCCATTCCGTGTCTACGAAGTGTGAGGAGTTGATCCCTATGAAATGGAATGAAGAAGTGGGAAATGACTTTTACCTTTGGCAGGAATTTCATCTGCAAACGCAGCCCTGATCTCGTCCCGCAAGTCGTCGAATCGGGCGGCCAAATTTCGTGTGAGGGGTGTGCGCACAACCTCCACTTGGTAGGTGTCTACTCGAGCAGGCAGTCCCAGCGTGTAATCCGATTGCATGGTCTATGAGAGACGGATCAGAAAAAACTAACGTATGCGTATAACCTATAGACGCAGACGCACTTCTCCGACAGCCTCTATGAAGGAAAGATCAAGATCGCTGGCTTTCTTGATGTCTTCCATCATCTGCTTGCCCGAAACAATGACCTCCCACCGGTCAGGAAGTGGTACCTTGAATGCTTGTCCGGGAAACTAGAAGAATATCAACATACGCCTAGAATGTCGAGATTATCCCATACTTTGGTGTATCCCTCCTGAATGATTTCTCGAGCATGCATCTTGTATCTGCGAGCACTAAGATAGGATGAAAAGAGGCCTGAAGACCCCACGGTAGGTATGGCATTAAGCTGCGACATTTGAGACGGCATAAGAATCTGGTGGCTTCCGTAGTATGACGCGATACCGACCTTGTCCATTCGAGCCCGCCATTGCAAGAGCTTTGGGATCAAGAAGGTCGCAAGAAGGATGGCGCCCAAGGCAAGAGCCTGTGGTGAAAGCGAAAGAGTGGACATGGTGAGGAAAAGAAGGGTTCAATCGCGATATTTAAGGTTATGGATTTCCCTGGATTTCCCCAATAGATGCTTGGAAAATCATTTCGAGTGAATAGGAACTGAGAAAAGAATACCATGAATGTGGTGTCATTGGAAGAAGGTGGATTAGGTGCAAATTAGATGTAAGTCGAAATGACAAAGCGACGCCGACTTCCGACCCGCCTGCCGCAAACCGACCTCGCAACGTTCAGCTCAGAAATTCGGTAGGCGCGGATCCGGAGAGCTTCTGAGAGCGTTCGCCATAGTAATAACATGCTGGGCGATGTTTGAATCCATACGCTTAAGTTCCTCCGGACGACAGTGTCACATAGTAGCAACAAGTCGACGTCGCACTCGGCCCCTTCAAGAGCCTACAAGTTTACTTTCTTCCTGGCTGGAATACATCGGAATAAATATTCGTTCATTCAGAACAAGCCTCGGGGTTGAAGCTACGCTCGCGCACCAGCACCAATCATGACAAGAGCAGTCTACTAGACGTGAATCATGGCACCGAGCTTTCTTCCCGCCTAGTCCCTACCTTATCGTATCATATCATACGCAGAGATTTCCTCACTCTCACACAGATCTACACAAGAAAAGGGGGACATGAAATGACGGCCGTCGTTGTCTCGATCCCTCACTCAATCCTAGATGTCTAAGACCTTGCCCCTGGCATGGTGGTTTTTATACTCCTACCCTTCTTGCGTGATTGGTAACACCAATCGATGTCGACTGCAGCCACTAAGTTCTCATCTGAAGGTCTACAAGTGGTTGTATTTTTGGTTTTGTCTCTAGGTACGTTTCATAGCCATTCCAAACGAACATTCAGTCTGATCACTCCCTCGGTACAGGTCTCTGCCTTACCACCCATTGCCTTTCGCGCTCAGTTGCTACTGCTAAGCTGACGGCAGGTTCCAAGATATCCTGCGCCAGGTTGTTTTTATTGTTAGTGTTCGCAAGTTCGTGGCTTTTCGTATTCATTAGTGCGTAGAAAGATTTCCAAGCTATATACATCACTCAGTCGTTTAATTTTCTGCATAGATCAACTCCTGATTTTTGGGATCACCCTCCAGTTCAACGATACCACTTGCAAGGCCGCTGCACATGTATGTGCGGTTCTTTATGGCGTTAGCAAAGCCTTTATGTACCTCTTCCTTGGTGAGTCGTCATCTATATAATATTCAGCCCCCTCTCATCGTGCCGCCCCCTCAGCCGAGAAAGTGCACACTGTGTGGTCTACCGTCAACAGACGAAGGTTTTGCTCACCGCAGTACAAAATATGTTTCCTTTCCTTACTGTTGTATGCCCTGCCCGCAGTAGCATTGCTGTCAAGTACGCAGTTTGAACCCTTTATTACTTATGTGATCTGAACTGCACTTTTTAACGTTTTCAGACACCTTGCACAAGATTCGCGTAAATGATGGAGTTTGTGTACTCGAACTTGTCCATTATGCAGCGTACTACCTCGTTGCTTATGATATGTGAGTATAGTTCAATTTCCACTCCAGACATCATACTTACTTTCCGGTATCAGTTATGTCACTACATTGTTCACTGCGCTTTTTCTTTGGCCGCTTCTCGACCCTTCAAGAAGGAATCCGCTTATAAGAAGAATAGCATTACGAACTCTGTGGTGAGCATTTTCTATGCATCTCATATTTGATATTGACGCTCAATTCCTGGTTTTCAGTGCATCTATCATCGCACTTACTAGTTCGACAGCGAACGCTGTCATGTTTGTTCTCCTTAAAAATACCGAAGTAGGATGGGTCTGTTTCATTACTTGCGCTATCGATGTCAGTTGTCATCTGGTAATTTCGTATTCAACACTTATGGACTAACGGTCATTCAGGTAATAGTCAACTCGGTTACACTATTTTGGGTCTCCCATTATGGTTTGCAACATGACGAGCATGCGCGTGCTTGCTCAAGGTCGCAATCGGACGACGAATCAATCAGATTTAAGTCATTTATCACCACGCAGAATTCGAATAACTTGGAATCGAAATCGTCCGACGTTGCCGCTGAAATGACAGCGTCAGAACTACCCTTGGTACCTTTACGACCATTAGAAGTTCCCATTATCGACGTCAATGGAAATCAGCCGCAGATTGGTCACATTATCCATCACGATAAAGATTCCAAGGACGAAGAGTTCAATCACCATGCTTCTGACTTTTCACCGGTTTCTGGAAGTACCGATCCTGAGGCGGCGATTGTGGCAATTCGCACTGGCTCAGTGTATGTGGATGTGGATGCGGACGAGATAGACTCATTCACAGGTCCTGAATCGGTAGTTTTCGCATCGATGCCTCCAGTGACCCAAACCAATCATCGTGACCACACGCGTAATCGGTCCTTGAGTTCAAGCATAAGTTCGGTCAGCCTCCCGGTGCTCATAGTGCGAGGTCGCGTTCCAGATACGGGACCTTCAGCAATATTGTCTAGGAAACTGTAATAGACTTGTTATCATATCCTCACGACTTACTGTGACTGATTACAAGAACGCCATAGATTTTAATACTTAAAAATGCCATGCATGTATGTATGTATGTCAATCAGTACTTCATGTTGCCAGTGAAATCTACGATGTTATCGAAATTGTGAGGTCCCATCTACTAGGGAACACTCTAATGCACCCCAAGACATACCTGTTTCCTGAGTAGTTACAGTAGTCACACCGGGGGAGATATAAAGGTCATAGAGTGAAATAGGTCAGAGAGAGCAACAACGGCGTTCTCTGGGTGTATTCCCAGGCTTGTTACTGGTGTACAGGGTCTACTACACAGACTTGAACAAGGTTCGATTCTTTGCCATGTGCGGGCGCCATACGCATAAGAGTGAAGAAAGGCTCCAGGTCCTATGTAGCTGAGCGCTGGATACATCGGCCTTCGGACCGATATTCCGAAACGCCATCATTTCCAAGTCACATGGTCCTTCGGGCGCTTAATCATTTCCAAATTTCTCCTCCCGCGTCATCCAAAGTTATTACTCCTACATTTCTATACTCACCGGCTGGCGGGATACCATTGCACATATTCGAAATTTTACGCTTTCCATTTCCAGCGGACTCTAGGATTGGCGTAGCGTGCTTGGAACCATATTTGAGCAATGGCGATGGCGAACAGTAGTTCTGGAAAGAGAGGAAAAGATGCAGGACGAAGTACAGGGAAAGATCCGGCTCGGGAAGCGATAGAAACCTCCCTTTTGTCGTTTTCGAAAGAACTGTATCGGACGGTGAGTATCTAACTTATCAATTTGAACTATTATTGATGCCTCAACATTACAGCTCGACACGAAACAAGCTGAAATTCAGCGTTTGACAGAGACGTTGGAAAGAGCGGAAAATGACTCAAAGGAGGCGAGCCAATCTTCTTTCGCAACCGATACATTATCTTATATGTTCATTAGCTAACGACTTCCAACGCCACGCTTCAAACTATTTCAAATCGCCTCGCGTACACTATCGAATCACTCGCCAAATCAGAGGAACAACTCAAAGTTGTCAATGAATTACTCCTAGAGGCAAACGAAGCACGAAAATCCGTCGACGAGGCTCGTAAATCTGCCGAAGACTCGAAGAAAGATGCATTATCTCAGCGGGATTGGTTCAAATCTGAATTGGATAGGATAAGGATTGAGTGGAGTGCAAAATCATCCGAGTCACAGACCCTGTTAGACCAAACGAGGGTAGAGTTGAAGGATATAAAGTTCGAATTCAACAATGCCAAAGCAGAGAGCAAAGAAGCTTGTAACGAATTGGAAGCAATCCGTCTGGAGAAAGACACTGCACGAAACGAAAGAGATCAAGCAGTAAAGATGCTTCATCAGGCGCAATTGCAAACCGAAGAGTGGAAACGGGAATATGAGAAGCGGGAAGGAGAGGCATGTATATTGTCTTATATATCTATGTTCTCTGATACTCATAAGCATCACCAGGTTACTCATTTACACACCCAAATTGCTTATTGGAAAGACCAAGCGAAGAAGTGGCATGCGTTTGTCGTTGACTCGACACACAGACAAAGTAAAAAGATTAAATCTGAAAGTGCTATAGCCGCCGTGGCACCCCTTACACCTGCATCTGCGTCAGGCTATAGCTCGAGGCGAAGGGGAGTCGATGATGAAGAACAGAGCGAGGAAATTGAAGATGAGGATGATACAGACCCTGATTCTCCCATCGACTCTCAGCGTCGACGAAACCCTGTTGCTACCACTTTCGGCAACACTACCACACTTAGGCAGGGAGCAGGTGTGGATACATTCAACGCAACTGGGTCAGAGGGCAATTTTCAGACACCAAAGACACTTACGAGAACCCCGAAAAAGCCCTCCACGTCCGGGTTGACTTCAACAGCTAGAGCTAAAGCTGCTACTTCCACATCCTCCGCGCATCCTTCCTCTAGTTCAAAGCCTGCACTTAGTAGAAATGAGGTTCTATTGTCATCTAGAGCGCGCAGAAGAGACGAGGTTGGGACAAGCCATGATAACCGCGGCCGTCAGGAAGACGAAGTGCACAGCAGAGACTTAAATGATCCAGAGGATTCTCAAGGGGAGTACGAAAGAGATAAATCTCTGTCATCTCTCGTCTACCCAGCAGATCCTGACCGAGTTCTTCCTATCCCTCCAAGAACTCCTCACAATCCTCGAATACCTCGCATACGTCACGACACCCATCAGGCCTCCCATGATGATCGAATCACTCATCCCGTCATTGCTCCTACCTCTTCCACTTCAAAGGCAAAGGCCCCGCCCCGGAGCGTCATACATTCCCGTCTCATCCGCCCTGTCAGAGAATATCAATTTGTTGTTGATATTAAAGAAGAGGACGATGAACCGGGCGTAATTTCAGGAAGTTCTGGTGGTAAGGTGAACGGTCCTGTTCATCACACTAGTAACAGAGAAGTCTTCGAGGATGTATACGATGGCGAAATTGAGGACGATGAGCTAGAGGAACCAAGTGGCGATGACACTCAACCTACGCCCACTCGGGAAAGGGCCAAAAGGAAAGGAAAGGCACGGGCTACTGAGCGTGTGCTTGAACACCGATCGCAGAGTGCTTGGAATTTGTTCGACGATGAGCAGGTAGAGGATAGCGTTGGCGTAGAAGCAGAAACAGCCCCAGTCGTTGGTTCTTTGACTGGTATTGGATCTTCAAGTAAGAGACGTGGCCGAGAGTGTTCGAAAAAGACTGGAAGGGTGAAGAGTAGGGGTAAAAGTGATATTGACTCTTCCCGTTCACGTTCACGACTCAAACCGAAGCCGAAACATGTCGATGGGGACAACGATCTCGATGACGAAAACGATCCTAACTCGGAACATGGCGACGACGGCGACAATAAAGTCGAATATCATCGACCTATTCAGCGTACAAGACACCGAGCAAATCCATCCAGATTGTCTTCGCCTTCACTAGCGTCGTCAGAAGACGAACTAATGATCACTTCTAATGGTGTTGGTGGTATCGGGGATTCACCGAAGACCACAAGAACGGGTGCCTCGCGTACTCCACACCATGATCTGCACCATGATTCCTATTCCTCACATCCCTCGTCGTCAAAGAAACGCCCGCCCACTCCACTTACATCGAATACGTCCGATGGAGGCACGGCATCAAGAAAGAGGAGGAAGAGATGAAGAATTTATCCTGTCCTTTGCAGATTTAATCAAACCTGGGAAACTTCTTCCTTGCGCCTACATTCTTCCTGCTCCTCCTTCGACGTACTTCACCATTTGGTCTACATCCTGCCTCTTACGAACAATCTTATTCTTAACTTATTGCATCTCTCAACATCGCGTTATATATAGTATACATAAAATGATTAATTTAGACAGAAATCTTATTTTATCTGCAGAAAATCCTCTCATTTTCACTGCCTTTTGCGTCTGCGTAGGACTCCTCCTTTCCCTAAGTAGGCGTCCCCATATAAGGTAGAGCTCAAGCAAGACCCGCACACGTCAGGTGACTGTGACCCACTGCTATTTTGATCTACGAAAAAATTAATAGCAGTCTCATAAATCTGCCTTCTCGAAATCGGTTCGCGCAGAAAGTTTTGCATCCCTCTAGCAAAACTTTCCTTGCAAACCAATTTTCTATATATATGTCGATAAACGGCTGTTATTAATTTTTGAAGGTCATGTCACGCCGGTCAGGTGACATGTGCGGAACTTGCTTGAGCTCTACCTTAGATAAACAATACATACATATGAGAAGCACCGATTTTGACTTATTCGACAATTGATTATCTGGTGCTCATTCCTACTATATCGGCCGACTAGCTCAGTTGGTTAGAGCGTCGTGCTAATAACGCGAAGGTCTTGGGTTCGATCCCCACGTTGGCCAACTTTCCCTTTTTTTCCTTATCCGAAGTTTCACGGGACGCAAAAGCCATGGCAGTTCATTTGTGCATTACTATCGTGCCTGCCGGCTTTGAAAAGCCACCCGAGTTTGAAAATACATTTTGAAAGGTGTTCCCTTCATTTATAACTGCATATATCTATATCCAAGGAAACAGCTATGATTCATATAGTTGTGCATTTTTATTGAAGAAAAATGGTTGTGACGTCGTTCCACAAGCTTTGTAAATTGCAAAATCCAATTTTCAAACACTGGTGATTTCAGAGTCTTCATTGGCGGCATTGACATCACATTCATTGTCCATATATGTTGGGCATTATAAATAGGCAGTCAGCTTAAATGCATGCTATGCTATGTGTATGCCAAATCCAAAAGCAATCTGAGCCAATACAGGGCGTTTACAAAAGAATTTTCAAACTCTGGTGGCATGATAGTAAGGCATTCACTGCGGCATCTAGTTGTGACCAGTGACTGTCATGGACTGACAGGGGTCAGCGCCAGGCTGAAGTCATGATATGTGGTGTTTCACCATATTTTCATTTTTGTTGACTCTTTCTCAATATTGCATGTAAGGACACATTCCCTATGTGATTTAGTAGAGTAATATTCTTACAAATCATAAATATTATCTCATCATTTCAAAGAACTTCAGCTTTTCATCTCCAAGACCTGTATTGTTGGCTAGTGCAGCTTGAAGCACCTTGTCATGAAGTACATAGCCCCTATCATTTTCCTTTTCTCACCATCTCGACGCCCTTACTTGTACGATTACATCACTGTCAAATCCCATCAATTACTGATCCACCTGACCCCCATCATCAATTACTGATCCACCTGTTATGCTTCTCCTTCTACTGGCTTCCGCCACCTTCCTTGTTCCTAAATTGTACAGTATTACATTGTCATTTCTTGCAGATTGGATTATGTATATAAAGCCAATCCCTCACAGCCTGGTCCCTTATCTTGACCTCTCTGTCATTATCTGGGACCAGGTATGTGCTTACTTATTATTACCTATGACTACAATACTCAATATATTTCTGTCATTATCTGGGACCAGCTTGCCTCTGCTCCGCTTAGTCGCTCCACCTCACCACCTTGCTTAGTCACTCCGCTTTCCTGCTCCGCTAGTCACTCTGCCTCTGCCGCTTTGTGACATTAGGTCAAGATCCATTACTGCACTGACAGCCTACCGATAAGGTTGTCCTTGCAGGATCCGCATACATCACATCTTCTACACCCGTAGATCCTTCCGCTCTTACTGCTACAACAGACTGCTCCGCCCTCCAACACGCACTCGATCCCAGAGATCAACACCATGTCCATCAGATTGACAACACCTGGTACGGCTGTGACTCCCAGCCTTGCCCCCACGCGCTTTCCAATTCAGTCCAGAACCCATTCACTGCAGATGATATAACCTTCCTGCCAATCCCCCATCCCCGATTGCCCACTCCAATCATGTCTGACCCTGCTCAACCTGCTCAACCTACCCCTACACCACCCACTGCAAACGACCTCATGGCACAGCTTATTAAACAGGTAGCCAACCTAGCCACTGCCATGGAGGAATGTTCATCTGCTAGGTCAAGCATGAATAAACCTGAGGTATTCAAGGGAAAAGATAGCGCTGAGGTGCTAACGAGCTTGCCTCGTTCTTGTGTGAAAGAGAATGGAAGGAATCAAATGGGCACTCCAACCAACCAATCTAATACACAATATGCAAGTTCACTGCTATCAAATTTATTTAATAGCAAGGGGTAGCGTTGTCAAAGGTTCCGCAAAGCTTTGAGAGCTAGGGAAGAAGCTTTGATCAATCAATTTGAATCATTCTAAGGATTCAGTATATTCCTTTGATTAAGGTAGATTCAGCACTATTCGTGCTTTGATTGTATTGATATGGGTATATCAAGATTTGGGGGTTTGAATCAAAGTAAATTAAAACCGAAACACACAGACCCCTACAGAGGGCTAGAAATATGTGCAGGCACAACCACACAGCGTGATTTGCCCTTAAGACCAATGACTGATCCTAAGTTTGAAGAATACCCAACAACTGGATATACTTCTCGCAGTCACAAGGAGCAGAACACGACGTTCCTATACTCACAAGTGCCGGGCCCGAATGGCTGCTAGCAAAGAGGTTTCAGTCTGGCGGGAGTGTGTCTTTCCTTTTCACGGATTAGCACTGCAATGTCATCCCAAAATCACTTGTATTCCAGATACATTGGATCACTATTTATACATACAGGATATAGAGTCGCACAGTACAATTAATTTAATAAAATAGACGTTCGGAACCGCAAGGAAACTTCTACAATCGGTCAGATATCATTTAATTTGAATCTACACATCCTTATTTGGTCCATAATGGTTCCAAGATTCTAGTATACCTCCAAACATAGGTAGGTACTTCCATATTTATTTAATTTTAATTGTTTTGGAGAATGACTCGAATGGTGTTCAGCTGTCGTTGCTGTTCAACACTTAGTTCGATCATTTGTCACCTCGTCCAGAGGCAAATCAGCTCTCCTTAATTCTAATCCTATCAATCTGATTCATCTGGATTAAACTAATTGCTTTTCTCTTTCAATAGACACCCATTGTGCCTATACTCTATCAAGGGAGTTATGCATAGTATTCATTTAATTGTATTCTTCAATATTTTCTACGTCAGGGCTCTTTGACATTCATTTGATATGTCTTCGGAGCCTCGCAGTACTTCGATCGTTCTTCCAGTCATTTTCCTCAACCATGCAACCTGATTGGTCTATTAGACTAAATCACAGTCTTTTAGATTAATGCATGATCTCGTTCTAAAAGGAGTATTTGACAATTCCTGAGTTCTAGAAAGTCATTTCGAGTCAATCCTTGGCTCATGGTCACTTGAGTAAGTTCTTCCAAACTCCTGCCAGTGTAAGGTCCAATAAGAATACCCTTGGTGTGTCATATATGAATGGTCATCCTTCGGATGTAGTCCGAGTCTGGTATAATCCTGCTTGACAAACAGGTAGACTTCTATCCAAAGGTAGTATCGGGGATGGATAAACCAACTTGTGGTAGTATGTGTAAGACCTGGGTCAGAATAGGTCTTAGGGTAGGTTTTGGTATGAAGAGTTTATGTTGTAGCGTGCTAGGAGCAGGCTGGAGCTCAAAGGGAGCTACAGAAACCGCGACCGAGGACGGGAATGACCTAGTAGTGGCTGGGATTGAGAGATGTGACCCTTGAAGGGGTTCCTGTAAGGTCCAGGGAGGTCCCTAAGGCGTAGGTAGAGGAAGTAGAGGTATGGAATCTAGTAGCGTTGCGTAGGAGGAGTTGTACTCGCTAGAACGTCGACATAAGATCGAATAGGTCGTAGAGAGAATAGGTCTTGAGTGTATAAGCTCCTGAGAAGGTATACGCCCGGGAGGGGAGGTCCCGGGAACTGGGGGTTAGAGGTGGACGTCCTTGAGTGTTGGAGGTGGTAACAGAGAAGCGGCACGTAGTTCGACATATGGGGTAGCTTCGACGTTACCTAGATTGAGGTCCCAGAGCTTGTGGAGCAATTGGGGAGCTCAAGGAGGTTTTGGGGAGGTTAGCTCACCAAGGCATTAGGCGTTGGGGAGCTTTAGTATTGTTCGAGGGAGCTTGGAGACTCACTCGGATTGCTTAGACGTGAAGTAAAAGCGTGTATTGGATCGTATGGACGATCGTAGAGACAATAGACAAGAATTGAGAGAAACAGAGATAAGGAAACAGACAGTAAAGAGAAATCCATATGGTTAGCAGGTACAAAGGAACAGGGACTGGACCTATGCAAAAGGGTGTGTGTTCAAAATATACCAAGCTGGGGATCTTTAGGACATAAGGGTACTTATATAGACGACATGAAATGGTCAGGGGAGCATCGTGTGAAGTGAGCATTTAATGGGGATGATCTAGAATACATGAGGATGGTCTGATGCATGTGTGGACGAGTTCCCGGGTCTGTCAGGCGGTGGGTGGGTTGTGGAGGTATTGAGTTCGGGTGACAGGTTTGAGGATGGAGGTGGCGTCAGGATGTTCTCAAGAGGGGAAGGGGAGGTTCCCGAGAGAGGAAGGAGGTTCTGAGTAGAGAGAAGGGAGCTACCGCGTCATGGTTTAGTGCCAGTGCATGACAGTATAGGTATATGGTCCCTTCAACTTATTAGACTAATTCAGTATTGACTTTGATTGTCAATCTGGGTCTCAATTACAGTCCTCTTGATACGAATCTATGCGTGGAAACGTCACAATTCACAGCATAGACGTCTAGCCAAAATTTAGGCGTATCAGCGCATCACTTCATGGCTCAGTTCCAGAACTGGGCATCGGAACAACCTGATCTCACCAAGAGTCAGGCAAAGCTTATCAAGTCAGCCCTAGGGTTCTTCACTGAAAGTGCGGGTGACTGGGCAACCCCACATTTGCTACATTTCAATGCGGAACATCCTCCCTTTGGAGGAAATTGGGAAGAGTTCCTGAAAGAGTTTGTTCAACGCTTTGAGTCAGTAGACCCCTGTGCTTCTACAACCTTCATTGTGAAGATATTATGAACTAATT